ACTTGATTATTGTTTTGACTTGAATTATTTTGTTTTAGTAATTATTATCTTCTACTTATTTGTAAAAAGTTTTATCATTAGAAAAATTAATCAAGTTTAAACACTTTTATCGTTAAAACCCTATTCACCCCCCTCTAGGATTGCCATACCGATCCAACAGCCCTGTTTTTTAAAACCTTCTCCTCAAAGCAGAACCAGAGGTTTGAGCATATGCCGTTTGACTGTAGGCAACATGAATTCAAGTTGGTTGACTACTCAGTGTTGAAAGTAAGTGTCGCACAATCGCTTGTGAACATCCTAAGGGGTGCTATTGTGACATTTAACACGCATCCCACTGCTCTTTTGACACATGTTCTTTTCTTGGCCTACCGAGTGGCATTTAATTCATGCTACCGAGTTCAACTTTAAAAGCAAAGATTAGGCATTTAATTTCTCGTCAGGGCTCGGGTGTTACACTCCATTATAGGCTTAGAGTTGTACTTTTATGTATTGTAGAATAAGTTGTATTCATGGATATAATTACTACATACAAGTTGATCTTTCATGAGTTATTCATAATTATAGTTGGGTCAAAAGTTCGTTTTACCTGGGTCTTTTACCTTAAACACCACTAATCTTTTAATGAACCATTTGTTTATGATCCAACCATAAACTAAGTTTTTCTCGAGCAAGTGAGAGTGTTAAGGATATTTAATACTAAATTATAGTTTACCATATCTACCATATTTGATACTTTATTAAAAATAAATATCTAGATATTTGCCTTATTAACGTATGTATCTTTTCATATATTGTTCTTCCCATTTATTACTATTTTCATATTCTTGTAATTTATTTGATTATAAATAGAGAACTTTCACTCACAATTTAGGTGTGGTGGATTAAGCAAACATTTTCATGGTATTAGAGCCCTTTCGGTTTAGCAACCCTAATCCTTTCTTTTCAATGGCTTTTGAAACCTCTACTATTCTTTTTCACCACCACTGTTGGCTTTGACACCGCAGGGGCAGTCACCATGGCTACCGCAGGCGAAGCCGATTGATTGCTCTTCGACTCCACTCTATTGATCTCCAAATCACCTTTCGCCATACTCTGTACATACAACCTCACCTTTTCCAACCCAATCGATTTTCCCTTGACCAATATAGCCTCTTTCATTTTCTTCCTAATCTTTCCTTCAACGTTCACAAAAACCCTAACCTCATGATCCTCATCAGCATTCTCATCGAAAATATACAGAATCTCGAGAAGGCTATCGACCTTCTATAGAGATTTACCTTCGAAATCTGAGTACCGCACTGGCCTCTTTGCCAACCAAGTCACCGCCTCTTTTCTCGCCAAAATTGGCTTCTTCGCGCATTGTGGTGACTCTTTCGGCTTCAACATTGTCTTTGTCTCTTACTCTAGGTTCTCCGTTCTACTTCTTGGGTTAGAAATATTATCACCGGAGCCAAGGCAGAATCGTCACTGAGCGATGATCCTTGTTCATGGGTTAGACATATTCTCGCCAAAGCCAAGGCAGCATCGCCGCTAAGGGACGATCCCTCTACAGTTTTCGATGGGCAAGAAAGTGTTTCTCTACACCTCCTCCAAATCAGGTTGTTGACATCTTCACGAAAAGTGTTTCTCAACCTCTCTTTGAATTTTTCAGATCCAAACTTCACGTTCGTTCAAATCCGACCCTTAGCTTGCGGTGGGTGTTAAGGATATTTAATACTAAATTATAGTTTACCATATACGTCAATGGAACTATTCATATGCTTACCTTATATGAGAAGGAGTGAATTTCATCTCATAAGATTATGTTCTTAGCTCTCTATTTAGCAATGTTTCGAAAATGGTAAACATATTGAATAGACTACAAAACTCGTTTTCACCCGTGTAAATCAAAGGACAAACTTTTAGGAGTAGTAGTTCATAATTCACTTAAAACTTAAATCAATTCGTATATAATTATTTTTTCAAATATTAAGATCAATGTTATACAAATTTATTGTACAGATGTAACGATCCTATATTTCTTCTTACCCTAAAGTCTCTACTGCGATTTTATGCGGAAATAATCGTTTAAAACATTATCATAAAACAGCATCATAGACTCATATGCATGTGTCATGGTCTTCTAAGTTGCGATGCCACCGTCAGCCGTACATGAGAGCTTTGCCTTTATTTGAAAAATAAGAATAACACATGAGTTAGTATTTTAAGAAATACTCGGTAAGTGGCCCACTTGGGGTTAGATGCAAACCCATACAATCATGAGTGGAACCTATACTTTAAATCCGTATTCTCTTAGACGACTATCTAAGCGGGTAATTGGATTTGTATTTACTATTCTACACACGACCCACTAGTCGGTTCGCACACCTCCTGGGTCCCTTTCCTGGTCGGACTAGCATTCTTTGGTGCTGTTGCCGGGTACTCAGTAGGAATAGTGACCAACGCAACATTATGATAAACATAATGATCGTTTTTCTGCCTGATAACGTACACGTCCATACCATAGTAAAAGGAGAAATTTTTATCATAGCTTTCAATGCATGTCTCGGGATTGTACATCATGTCAAAATATCTTATCGCATGTTATTCATAGCATACATCTTGTCATATCAACGTGTCACATTATAAAACATATCATGTCTCCCAACATACCATATCATATCATGCACGTATGATATCATAAACTTATCATGTCATAGATATATCATATCATATCATAGACATATCATATTATAATCACATCATGTATAACAAATATATGACACGTGCAAAGTCACTGGGCACGTGTCATCCTATATAATACAACTTCCAACCAAGCCGATAGTAAGACCACTTGATTGGTTGACCTTGTCTGACGTTCTCCCTAAAATAATTGCTTGAGCTCATCCTTCGAATAATATTCCAAGCCTCGTCGAAATATTTCCTATAGAACATTTACTAAATTCTCTTAATAACTATAATTTTCTAATCTAATTCAACTTGAATTGAGAAATTTAGCATTCTTCTGACCTTAATCACCTTCGGTAAAGTCAAATTTAGCTTCAAGACTGTCGAAAAGGTGGAAATGGGTAAAATTTCCTTATTTCGAGCCAAATAACTTAGTTTTGAATCGAAAAGCCTCACGAAGCGAAGTCAAGCCAACTAAATCGAATGAGTCACTAGTTTCAGACACAAAACGTAGCAGGTAGTGTTTTGGATCGAGACGTGGGTTATCGGATTGGTTGCTACAGGAGTGTGGGTCGCATGTTGCGAAGCTAGACCGTGTACTCTTTTATTTATTTTTCAAAGGATAGGAGTGTGTAGTGGTTTGGAAGATCGAGGGCATCGGGGTACTGCATGATAGGTTGAAGGTATGAAAATTCTGGCGCATTGCCGAAATTTTCACGCCCTTTCCGGTGACCAATTATTTATTTTTGTAACCGTTACAATAGGATATCCCCACTCAAATGTTTCCATATACTCTAAAGATTATCATTTAAATATGTTTATGACACGTGTTTAAGATTACACTAATAACTTTCAATCGGTTGTATAATCCATTATATTATATTGCAAACAAAATAATATAAATTATTATTAATATTAAAAATAAAATCATTAATTACGAGACTTTAGAATATAAATTCCAATAAAAACCCACTTTTTTCTTCATCTTCTTCGAACAAAAAAACTCATCCCCACCCGCCATCTGCCACTTACCGTCACTTTCTTCCTCTCTTCAACGGAAAAGTTCACCTCCTCTTCTGACCTCTCCCGATCCTTCTTTTTTATTTCGTATTTGGGTTGAAAACCTAGACCAAAAAAAAAAAAAAAAAAAAAAAAAAAAAAAAAAAAAAAAAAAAAA